TATATATATATGTATAAAGTCAGTTAATTTGGTACTTTTGGTTTCCAGGGCATTCCAGGGCACCCGGATAAACACACATTCTATCTGTAGGGATGAAATTGTGGGAGAGAGAGAGAGAGAGAGAAAGAAAAAAGGAACAAATAGAGAAAAAAGGGAGAGGAAATCGAAGAGCTTCACTGCAAGGCTGAACGGGCTGAGCTGGGAGAGGAGGTGAGCTACCACTTTGTGTCTGACGTCCTCAAGGTTGGCATTGAGCAGTACAACCATGCGGTTGTCAAGCTTCGAGAAGAGATACAAAACCCAGAGAAGCTGTTGGCCTTGATTGACCGTGAGATGTCCACTTTGTCGGAGGATGCAAGCCCCGAGAAAATTGAGGAGGAGATTCAGAAGGCTCGCAACAGAATCTATGATAACCTCAAACAGATTGGATGGCGTGACACGAGTGACAACTTTGTGAATCTTGGATGCACATGGTTTACCGTATGTTCAGCTCAACTCTCCCTTTTGAAGAGTGAACAGCAAAGTCTTTTTGCGCAAAGACACATCAGGAGACACCAGGATTTTTCAATTTTTGATACAGGTTAAATAAAGGATTCTATAAACATTTTCCTCGGTGACTTTTGGTTAATCAATGATTCAAGGATCCTGCCACTGACCCTATTTTGGACAACCCCGATTTCATGGACCCCTATAAAAACAATGCACCCGAGTTTTTGTTGATAGGGGGCCCGCGTGTGTTTTGTATATATATATAGGTGGAGGGGATGATATGGAAAGGTATCCTGAAGACATTTGATTGCAACATATTGCAACCATGCCATCTCCCCAAAGCAGATCAAAGTCACATAGGCAATCCACCTTCAGAGAGACTTCAAGCTCTTTTCTGGTTGTGATTTTGATCAACCCATTCTAACTGAGCTCACCTAATTGTCAAACACGATGCCGGCACCAGTTGAGGAAACACGCACAAAGGATTTGCAAGAGGGCGGGTTTGCTTTTGGCAGCCAATTCAAAGCCAGGGAAGCACCTGGAGTTCTCTCACCCAGCCATGAGCCGGGTGCGCACCTGGGTAGCCACCAAGGTGGCAGATGGGGAATTCCACCCCCGCATGATAGGGAACTTCGACCAAGTATGGTCTTTGCTATTCCGCCCATCCTCGTCCAGCCTGGTGAAGCATGCCCACGTGGATGCGCGTGCAAAGCAGATGTCTTTCAGGAAAGTCAGGCACTGCCTAGAGCGTGCCCTTGGCCTACCGTACTCGGAGTGCTTGGACAAAGATGATGGTGACCACCAAGTGAAAGAACCAACCATCACAGGCTTCAAAGCCGCGAACGTGGCCATCGAGGGGTGGCGGATTCCGCGCACATTGTGCACGCTGTCATGGTGCGACGGAACGGTGGGGAGGGGGTTTATTACCTGCAGGGAGGGCACGATCTCCGAGAAGGACCGGAAGATTGCAAACGATGAGCTCAGCAAATGGATTCACATCGGCCCGTTACAGCCAAAGACGCACATCTGGAATGCCAGTACTATGCAAAGGTACCTGGCATTCTTAGGAGAAGAAATCCGTGCCAGAAGGAGAGAGTTGGGACTTGAGCACTCCGCCAAATGCTTGGTGATCTGCGACCAAGCCACGCAACACTCCTCCGGCAAATGGAGGAGTTTGAGGCAGGCTTGGTGCGAACAACGCAACGTTGCACCCTAGCAGCATTTTATATATGTACAGTGGCAACACCGGATTAATCAACGGGGACCCCCCCCTTCAAGGTCAACAAGGTTGGATTGATTAATAGGGGGGTCGTAAAATTCGGGGGGGTAGGGCCTGTGTGAGGGGTACCCTTTGTGAGCTTGAAAAAGTTAAGATGTTGATAGAGTTTTAAAAGGGGAAAATGAAAGAATTTTGCTAGAGATGTTTTTTGGGATGGTTGGTAGCATGAGCCCTTAATGTCCAACCCCCCCCCGACGTTGAGGTGATTCTTTCTGGCCAAAGTGATGCTTCTGGGGAAGATGAATGCACGGTGCCCGGAGGCTTCGGTGCCGCTGGGGCACCAAATGATGGCTGGCATCAACACTGCCACGCTTTAGTTCATGCCTTCTGCAAGGCATCTCTGAGCTGGAGCGACTCGTTGGCTATGCGCAAACAGCTTGATCAACTCCAGCTTTCAGTCCAATCTTCGGTTACAACAAAGCTCCTCAGAGAAACCAATTATGCATATGTTCTTGCTTTGAACTTTTTCGTTGGGTCACAAATAGAATGACTCTCCATGTGCCGAGATTTCAAAGTGTTTACATTGCACACGAAGACTTGTATGGTCTA